CATCTGCAGGTGCAGGCAGGAACCACTGCTGAAAAGATGAAAGTGGAGAGACTCTCAATGGAACAAGTGCGAGCACAAATGCATGGTGAGAGCCATCTCAGCAAGGTGCTGAGCACAATGCCTTGTAGACCTGTGTTGCCTCATTTGTCACAAGACCCCTGGCCTGCAGAGCCATCAGCATGAAAAGCTGATGTGGGAGAGCTGCAGGCTTCAGCTTACACCTGCATGTATTGGGTCCTGACCTAGTTCCCCGATCTCCCAAAAGAGTGTACGGCGGAGGTTTAAATAAAAAGAGATAAATGGTATGAATTTAGGGTTCCAGGAAGGTCAAAACCTTTTGGTTGAGCTTGAGACTCCGAGGGCTAAGACAAAGACTTCTCTGGATCAGCCCACTTTTATTAGGGCCAAGAACAAAAGGTGGGGAAACTGAGCTAAGCACAGGAAATGAGCAAGACCTTGGGAGTCACTTCAAAGACTTCTCCAAGTAGTGAATTATGCTAATTTAGGGGAACCATCTTATCTCCAAGATTACATTTATGGTAGGATTGAGACTGCAGGAGTGATTTCTGAAGTTGTAGTCTCTATCTTGTTAATTGGGGTTGGAGCCAAGTGTATTCAGCTGTGGCCTTATCTTGCCCTTTGAGCTATCTCTGGCCTCACAGGCCACTACAGGCTTCAGCCAAGACCAGTGATTCATAGAGGTTCACTTACTATGAATCAGCTCCTGTCACCAGGCAAGGGACCGAAGCCTAGGACAGACTCACAGATAAACATAGAAAGCCAATTAGTAAAATTTAAATCCTGCTCAGAGCCACTTCATAGTAGTCTCCAACATGCATGAACTCTTGTAACAACTACAATAGTCAAAACATGTGGAAGGGGTTACTCATCAAGTGGTGAAACAAAGTCACAGTGACATGAAATCAAAGAGACTTACTGTGGATCATTAAGGATACATACTGCTCTAGCTAGGTATTGGTGGTGTGTGGTACTTGTTACTCCTTTCTATCAGCCTGTAGATTGGGAATGTCCACCTTACGCCAGGCCCTCATTCTAATTTGGGAAGTAGCTAACATGGCTAATTTTATAAGTGCAACCTGGGGAGAGTCATACCTAAATCTCAACCATAATTTATTTAGATGTTATTTACATCAGAATTTTAAATTGATACTAGAATGATTTCAATCTTTGGGACCACTTTGAGGGAGTAAATGGTAAGAGATAAAAGCAGGATACAGGGAAGGATGGAAAGCCATGATTTGAGAGCATGGAGCCCTTCATGTTTCCGTATTGGAGCTCATGCGCCCACTGGAGGATGTCTTTACCACCTGGCATCTTTTTTGGGAAATTTCCCTAAGGTGACTGAAGTGCCTGGATGAGACCCGGGCTTTTGAGACCTGAGCTGATCTCTTGTTTTGCCTCCCTGCAATGGAAGGACACAGTGTGCATCTCTTCGGCCACCTGAGGTGCAGAAACTAGACAAGGGTTGGAAGCACATAGCTGCCTCCTGCTGGACCCCAACTCTGTCACTGCCTTTTGGAACTCTCAGTGTTCAGAAGTATAGGAAAAACCTATATTTGAAGTAAGTTTCTCCTGGTGGGGGATTTGTTACAGCCCTGCGGCCATAGATATGCCCAACTCCTGAGTTTGCACATTGTTATCATCACTCTGATGCCTCAGCACACCAAGGCTTTAGTAATCCAGGAATTGCTTCCAACTTAAACTTTAGATCGCATGGCACAGGATGACCTCAGACCTAGGTGGTGAGTCTTGATTCTATTTTATTATGCCATTTTATTGCCTTGTAACTTTATCTCATTGATGTGCTTAAGAAAATGTATTAATTTACAATTAATCCCATTTTTGATAATGGTTGTACAGTTTATTGTGAAGAAAAAACATTTTTTACATGTCTACCTTGGCAAGATGATGAACACTTTTCTTTGTAATAACCAGTAAATATTCTGTTACATTTATTTGCATAAATACATACTGAAATAGTGACTTTTCCATTTTTGTATGAATTTTCTTGATGGGTAAACGTGACTTGTATCCATCTCATAGTAACTTGAACATTTTGCGAAATTAGTTTTATTTGGAGTGTCAAATCATCCTCATCTAAAAATGAATCTTCCAGTTTAATTCAAAATATGAGGAGTTGTCTCATGTAGAACTATGTTTTTTGTATGAGGGAATTAAATCCTCCCCATCCCTTTCCACGGATTGTGAGAACATAGCTCTCTTCTTTCCTTGGCCACCTAAGGAGACCTGGTCCTCAGGCTCGGCTCCAGCACCATTTGGAACCAGTGCTCAGGGGAGGAGAGAAGGAGGGCAGCATCCAGGGCCCCGTGGTATGCTCTTTCTGTTCATGCTAGCTGAGCAGAACTGAGACATTTCCACCAGGGAACATAAAAATTAGGTTTATTGCATTTATTTCTATTGTGCATAGTCCCCCTTTCTCACACACACATAGACACACACCTGTGTCAATGTGCATATTCATTTCACTTAAGAAAAATATATTTAAATTCTAACACACATTGTTTCACAACATTCATTTTCTTTGCCAGAGCTCTCTATTGTGTTTCATCACTTATGTAATTGTTGATCACATCTGTACATGATTGTCCATATAATATAATATGACTTCTGAAAACTAAATAGTGTGGTCCCACTACCCCATAAGAGTTTCCTGAGAATCAGGAACACACTGACCAGAAGGAAATGATTCACACTCCTAATCCCTTCACATTCATGGTTTCTGAAGGCAGAGGTAGATGATGTCCTCACACAGAAATCACTGCCTCTAGGAAGTGACCATGAGCCTCATGGTTTAGCTCACCTTGTGAAGCTGCAATGTGAAAGTCATATCACGGTTTTGTACACTTCCATTTAATAATAGATAAGATGCAAGTTAAGAAAGATTCAGAAACATGAACAAATCAGAATCACAGTGAACAGATCCGTTTAGGATCATTTGATCCCTTTAAGATCATTTTGTCCCATTTGGTTCCAGGCATTTATGCCCCTACCCTGACAGCCACTATGTGTGAAATTCACCATTTTTTCAATCGTTTTTCTGTTTTTATTGTTGGATAAATCCTCTTATTTAGCCCACTCTTTGCCTGTCTTGAATTGTTAAAATTTCAATATTTCTATACCATGTTAATGAAATTATTCTTTTGGGTATTTTGGGATTTTTGGGGGTTTTTTTTGTTGTATTTGAATCACACTTTAGCATAGTTCTGTTGTCATTTATCACCTCCTCTGTGCAAATCATAATAAATCATGAAATTTTATGGGACCTGTTACACTTCTGTTGCCCTTCTACATGTTTATGGCCTGGTTTAAAGTATGTGTGCTAAAGGTCAGAATTATTTCTGTAGCAACAGTGTCAAAGGGCTGTGTCTGTATTCAGTGTTCTGTAATCGTTAACAAAGAAAGTAAATGCTTCCGACCTGCAGCATGTTGTTTGCATGGTAGATTATTGAATCATCCTAAGGAACTTCTGAGGTGCATTCTGACTGCCCCTGGTTCTCCTGATTAAAGATGAACTTAGAAAAATGTAATATCTCAAGTTCATATAGCTGGGAATAGATTGAAATGCATGTGTGTTTTCAGGGAAGGGATTCAGTGTTTGTATTCTTTTTTTTTTTTTTTTTTTTTTGTCTTTTTCGTTTTTATCGGTACCAGGGATCGAACTCACGACTGCTTGCTTGCAAGGCAGGCGCTTACACCGCTGAGCTAAATCCCCAGCCCCAGTGTTTGTATTCTTGACTGTCTACTCCATCCGCGAAATTAAACTTTCTAATATATTATCCCTCCGCTAAGGATATGTGTACACTCAAACTCTATCTGCGGCAATATTCCCACTCCCAATACAGCTGCTCTCTCAGACACAGTGAATGGGAATAATTGTTTTCATGTTCTAATCAAGATAATCATTCATCAGGATGTCGCATTTAGAGTAATTAAGAAGGACTAGAAATACAATCTGCAGCACTGAGGCTGAAAAGTGTAAGAGCATAGCACAAAAATCTAGTGAAATAGTTTTACTGCGTGGTATACTGTGAATGTCAGGTGACCATGTGTGGAATAGGAAGCACAAGTGAGTCTTGTTTAGTTTAACAAGATACCCATCCCAGTCATATGACCCCGTATTTCATATTACCAACATTATTCCATTCAGAAGAGGAAAATACTCCCATATCTCAACTCTGTCTCATTAAATATTCTGTCCCCAAAATATAAACTCCAAAGGGCACACTGAATTTCACATTGGGCTACTGATTTGAAACCTCTGACATGAGCCAGGAAGCAACCCACAGTGCGTGGATGTCTACACTTACCCTTTACTCTCTACGACCACGACACAGAAACCTTGGTTCCAGTCAGGCTTCATTTATTGCCTTATTGTTGGTATCTTATCAGGATTCATGTTTTGCTATGTATTATTTCTATTTACTTAAATATTTTTCTCTATATCACATGCAAAAAGCAACATTTATAAGATCAATGAACCAGCTGAAAAATCAAGGGCGTCCTGTGAATAAGGCTTCCTGGCTCAGGCCAGTAATCTCCACACTAGGGACGCTGAGGCAGGAGAATTGCTGCGAGTCCGCCTGGTATAAAATGTGAGCTCCAGGTCATCCTGAGTTGCAAGGCGAAACCCTATCTCAAAAAGAGCAAATAAATAAATAAATGAATAAATAAATAATTATTTGAGCGCCACTCCTGGAAAAGATTGTTTTTAACACTCTCAACAGAGCTGTCAGGCAACAGAGCAGGAGCCAATCAGCGATGAAAGCGGGCTGTCTGAACTACCCAATCAAGTGGGTAGAGGGGGAGGGCACTTCCGGTGTCATGGCGCTGCGCTGAACCCTCTGAGTGCGTGGTTAAGAGGACGCTGCTGAGCAAACTTCTTTTTTCTCTAACTTCTCCAGGCTGCGCGCTGCATTGGAAGGATCCTGGGAGACCCTCAAGCACGCAATGGTGAAGTTACTTGACGGGAGGTCGGGATGGCTGGGAATGGGGGCGTTCCGGACGGAAGTGGTCAGAAACAGCTGTGGCGATCTCTGTACCCGCCTCCTGCTCAGCTGCAAACGCCAGGGTCTCCTGGTCTTCGGCGCGGTGTCACCCTCTGAAACGTTTCCCCTTTGCCCAGGCAGGGACAGTGCTCGGTCCGCAGCATGCAGACACCATGCTGTGACACCACTGCCCCACGGACCCTTCCTGTGCGGCACAGGCAGGGTGATTCTCCCCGGGTCTGCGGGGAGCAGCAGCTTTGAATCCTGAGATCCTTCTCAGTGATGGAAAAGTCATCGCTTTAATTTCTCACATGAGATTTTTACTCTCAACCATGTTAAACATAAACAGGACTCGTGGTCTCACAACATTGAGGAATGAGGTCGCGAATCCGAAGAAAGGAGTTAGGAGGGATTTTATTGGAAATAATAAGACTAGCTCCATGATTTCCAGAAGTGCCCCGACTGAGCGGCCCTGTGGCCGGCCTCTCCAGAGTTAATTATAGATAAGCAGAGCCCTTTACTGTGCTCAGTTGGTTAGTGACCACCTATCACCGAGGGCTCTGGATTTAAAACAATCTTTTGAACTCTAATCCATTTCCTCAACATGAAGTTGTTAAAACGAAACTGGCATTTTAGAAAAACACGAATATTTAAGTTAGTTTCCTTAAAATTTAGAATGCTGAGAACTATTCAGGGATGTTAATAGGGTTGCAGAAATCAGTAACTACGACCATAAACTTCTGCAGACATCAAATTGTTAGTGTGATAGTAAAAAGGTTGTATGTTTTCTTGTTCTGAGATTGAATCAAAAGTCACCAGCCTAAAGAAGCAAGAATTTAGTAGCAGATAAATACTTCTTCTGTGGCTACTGATTAGCCCGCGTAATCATTTTTGAGGCAAAGTTAGAAATTAGGGAACCGGTATTGTTTTAGGTTTAAAAACAGGGTGGACACCTTGAGTGATGAAGAACGGAAAGGGGTTTTTCTTGGATACAAAAGATTTCAAGGTGTTTGTTCTTTTTCATTGTACAGGAACTGAAGTGAGAAAATTTCCCCTGAGCTAAATCCTCGCCCTGGGATTGTTTTGTTTTTTAATTTTTCTTTTTTTTGTCTTTTTCGTTTTTATCGGTACCAGGGATCGAACTCACGATTACACACTTGCAAGGAGGGCGCTTATGCCGCTGAGCCCATTGTTTTTTAATTTTTAAAAACAGATATCTCTGTATTACCCAGACTTTGGAGAAATTTTAATAGTTCCCACCTCTGACTATTGGGATCTCAGATTTGTGCTGCCTTAAAGAAAACATCACTGATGCATGGTGGTGCATACCTTTAATATCAACCATTCGGTAAATTTAGGAGTACTAAATTACCAAGCCCAGCCTGGTTATCTGACCAAGATCCTTTTTCAATATGAAATAAATACTTTGGGGTGTACTTCCACTCAAAACTAACGTCTAATGTGCATGAACTCTTGAGTTAAGTTTCTAGTAATGAGAAAATGAAAAATTATTTAGTGTAAAATTTATTTTTAATTTTGAAATTTACACATTTTTCACAGTAGTCATACATGGTACATTACTTCCTCATGGTGGTAGACAGAGCAGTACTGAGTCACTGCACTGTAGGAAAGAGAACACAAGCTGTAAACAAACAGTGGTTTACAGTGTACTGTATTCAGTAACATAAATGAGGTTTATAGTGTTGTTTTGTGAATTTGGCTTTGTACTACCTAAATTTGCCCAAATATAGATCTAGGTATGTGTGTTGAGCAGGTTTAAAGATTCCAAGATTTACCTATGATGTTTGCTTATGACTTTCAGTACATTTTCTGTTCAGTTCTGACCTTTGAGTTGATGAAGATATTTTCACTTTCACATTTGAGTAGCATCTGTAGACTCATTCCCTCAACTCTTCATAGACCATGACACTCACCAGATTCTGTTTTTGAATGCTGTATTAGTTTTTCCTGAGCAGCTGAATTCTGAGAACAGCATAATACTGTTTGGAAAAAGGAAAAATACTCTTGGGTTTTTGGTTTTGTTTTGTTTTGATTTTTAAAATTAGTATTATAAACATTTGCCTGACTGGTTATATTTTTTGGATTACATCATCAGGATAAAGGGGTAGGATGGAAATTTCCAATGAAAAGACACGGTTGAGTAGTTAGAAACAAGACACTAATCATATGCAATGTGGAAGGGAAAACATTTCCATTTCTAGTTTTAATTTATGCTGATTTGGGGAAGTCTTCCTTCCTTTACATTGTCATCTATCTTTCTACTCTGGACTTACTGTTCCTGCTAGCACTTTAAGTTTCAAGCCTATATCCATATTCTATTATTAAACACTTAGAAGATAATGCGATTCCTATGTGTTGTGTAGTAGATTCTTTTTACTTCATAATGACCTTGTGAGCTCCAATTGTATTTCACATAGTGGTTCTTGGTGAAACATCTGATAGAGAAATTTAATGTATTGTTATTTTACATAGCTAACATGGGACAAAAGGTACACTTGTATCTTCAGATAAAGAACTGAATTCCTGTAGTGTGCTGTGTACTCCACTGGGACATTTTAGTTCATTAATTTTCCATATGTCCAATCTGTTTCATTATTTCTATTGTGCAGGGAGCTCAGTTATCATGAACTCACCAAGAGTGGTGTTCCCTACAACCGCATCTTCTTGGGCTGGCTTAGGAAGTTCTGGGAAATAAAGGAAGAAAAGTAAGAAAAGTCAAGAGTAAAAGATGAGAAAGTACAATATGAAGACCAAGTATTTTTGAATATATTCAGATACAATTTGTATAATATTACACTGTGTCAACATTTTCAGGGATTTTGTTTTTGGATATGGTGCTATGTGAGCATCTATATAATCTTGCAAGGTAATATTTATGAAGTCATTTAAAATATTTTTTTAAAGAGAATAAAACCAAGCAAAATAAAACAGAATAAAGCCAATCAAAACAAAGCAGTGTAAGTGACACAGGACTTCAAAGCAATATGAAATCAGCAATGGTTTCTATAATGTCTCTTGTCTTCAAAATAGCTGCAGATACGTTCAGACAGTAAAATCAAACAAAACAACAGAATAGAACCACTAAAAACAAAATAATGAATGCAGTAAAGGATTTCAAAACAAGTCAATAGCAAATCCAAAATGGCTACCATAATATACCTTGTTATCTTTAAATTAGCTTCCCATGCCATTAGATATATAACAAAATAAAAAATGACAGAATAAAACTGAACCCAACAAAACAATGAAAATGATGCACAACTTCTAAACAAGATAACAGCAAATTAACAGTAACTATCACCTTCAGAAGTAAATCCTTCATGGATGGCCAGATGTCTGGCTGTATAGAATTTGTTCTGGCTGTGTGAAGAATACTGCCTGAGAAACACAGGTTTTTGTGGAGACCTCGTAAGGTTGTCGAGTGTGCTGGGCACAGCTTGAACTCTGATGAGTTGCCAGATTTGGGATGGATGTGGGATGAAGTATGGACAATGTAAATTGTTACACATAAAGAGAGATAAATATACTTCTTCCAACAAATGTGTACTGTAGTTTTTTCTATGCCTAGAGCAAGGTTTAGCTCTGGAAACAGGAACTATGTCTCTCATCCTTTCCCTGAATTCTGACACTATCTCAGTTTATAGTCTGTATTCACACATATGCTTGTGAAGATCCAAACTGTTAGATCTTACACTAGTCTGATTTGTGTTCCAGTCTAACCTTTTACCGTACTTGGCCAAAGGGATATCCTGATAGCGTACCCTGTTGTTCCTTTTTTATTTGTGGAATGAATCACAGGGCTCAGGACAACAGTTAATTTATGTGTATTTCAGAATATGGTAGAAGGAAAGAGTGAATTTTGAGTATTTCTTTCTGGAGATCTCAAAATCTTTATGCATCTAAGTATTAACCAACCTTGAAGTTGTGCTTAAAACTTTAGGTTAGGAATTTCAAAGAAGACTTTGGTGCATACAAATTTAATTAACTCTTTGTTTTCGATTAACTCATTGTCAGTTGCCTTTTCCTTTTTCACAGATCCTGTGGGAAGATTCAGTATTTCAACCCACTGGGTAGCAATAACAAAATTGCTTCTACAATTTTACCTTTTAAACATTATGTTGTCTTTGAGTATGTCAGTTATATGCTGTGCAGTTTACCCAGTCTCTGAGCTTATTATTAACATACAAAACACAGAATTTGCTCTGAGAGATCCCACACATTTTAGAAGCTCTTGGATCAGACTATAGCCCCCCTGTAAAAACCTATATATGTTACCCTAGTTTCTGTAGCTTGAGGGCCATGAAGAAAAGTCACAATTAATACACTAGTATCCTCCTAAATTGTCACCGTATGTCCTACAACACAGCTTGAAATGAGTAACTTTAAGAAAGTGAACAAACCTCAGAATGATTGAATCTTTGCCAAGTTGCACTTTTTGAAAAAGAGAGGAAATTCTAAAATGCTAAGGATTTTTAAAAGACATGACTAGATGAGTCAATTGAAGTGTGAGGGAGTCAAGAAATAGTTTTTATTTTATTTAGTTTTTTATTAGCTAGGTTTATTGGTTAGGTATACACAATGATCACATTTATCATAGAAAAATTTTTGTCTGTACATGATATATTTTCATTTTTCCCCATTCTCTTATCCTCCCTTCAACCCCACTTACTCTTGCTGTTTAGAAAAGCTTAGTTTTCATCCTTTTTTGTTTTTTGCTTTTCCCTTCTATGCTTCCCCCTCCTCTCTACCTAATTCTTTGAACATTTTTTCCTATTTTACAATATGTGATACACATTTTGATCCTTATTTACTTCTAAAGGAAAATGCATTATTTACATATGTGTCTCCAATGTATTTTATTTAATAGTATGGTGTGAAGGTGCATCCATTTACCTAGAAATATCTCAAGACTATCTTTCTTTGTGGCTAAGTAATACTCCATTGGATAGAAAAACCACTTGTTTTTTATCTATCTATTGATGGCCATTTGGGTTGTTACGTGTATTTAGTTAGACATTTTAAACTGCTGCTACCAATATACAAGTGGATATATTACTGTGGTATGATCATGATAAATACTTTAATACTTTTGGAAATATAGCAAGAAGAGGAATAGCTAGGTCCAGTGGTAATCTCTTGTCATAGTTTTTTGAGGACTAATTACTGATTCCCTCACAGCTTTTGCCAGTGTACATGCTAACCAGCTGTGGAAAAGGGTTCCTGTCTGCCTACAGCCCCCCAGCATTTGTTATTGGTTGATTTCCTGATAATAGCCATTCTTTCTGAAATGAGAAGTAATCTCAGCTTGTTTTAATATGTATCTCTTGAATGGCCAGTGGTGTTGAACATTTTTCCTATATTCATTTTCTATTTCTACTTCTTCACCTGAGAAGTGTCTCTTCCTTTCAGATACCTACTTTTAGATGTGTCTTTCATTTATGGCATCTGATATTTTTGAGTTTTTTATATAGTCTAAATAATAGTCATTTACCTGGGTAACAGCTTGCAAACATTTTTTTCCCACACTCTGTTATGACTCTACACTACATTGATGATTTCTCTTACTGTGCAAAAGCTTTGTAATAAGATGATATCTCACTTTTTTTGAGTACAAATTCCTGTGCAGTTGGGGTTTTATTCATACAGCTTTGCCTTTCAATGTCTTCAAATGTTCTACCTGTTTTCTCCTTGGTAGGTTTAGTTTTTCTGTTTTTCTAAATAGATTTGTGAGACATTTCAGTTTTAATTTTGTGTATGGTGAAAGATATAGGTATAGTTTTAGCACATAGCATGTGGAAAACCAGTTTTCCCTGCATCATTTATTGAAGAGGAGATCTTTCTTCTAGTGAATATGTTTGCATCCTTTGCCAAAAGTCAGGTGACTGAGTATGTCTAGAGTTGTTTCTGCATCTTGTAATCTATTCCATTGATCCTTGAGTCTATTTTTTTCCAGTACCATGCTGTTTTTTCACAGTAGCTTTGTAATACATTTTTAAGTAGGGAATTGTAACGCCCCTTGCTTTTGTTTGTTTCCTAGATTTGCCTTGATATTCTAGGTTTCTTCTGGTTCCAAATAAATTTTAGTATTGTGTGCTCTAATTCTGTGACATATGCTGTTGGAATTTTGGTGGAAATTGCATTCAATCTGTGTAACAATTTTGAGAACATGGTGTTTTTCACTGTGATGGCACTTACTACCAAAGAAAAAGGGATATCTTTCATTTCCTGATATCCTTCTCAATCTCCTTCTTGAAAATACTGTAGTTTTGAATGTAGAAGTCTTTTACCCTTTTTGTTAGATTGATTCCTAGGTATTCCAGTGTTTTAACTTCATTGGTGCATTAATTTGTGGTTTCCTAATTCACGTGTTCCTAGGAATCTGCCCATTTCTTCCACATTGCCATCTTATTAGAATACAGGTTCTCCAAGTAGGTATTGATGCTATTGTGAAAGGTGTTGTTTCCCTAATTTCTCTATGACTAAGTTTGTTATTTGTGTACAGAAAGGCTGTTTAATTTTGAGCATTCACTTTGTAACTAGCTGTGCTGCTAAATTTGGTGATTGAATAGAGAAGTCTTATGGTGCAGTTCTTGGAGTTTTTGTAAAGTATCATGTCATTTTCAGATCATGATAATATGATTTCTTCCTTTTCTATCCTTATTTTGTTTCTTTCTCTTATCTAATTGCTTTGTATAATGTTTCTAGAACTGTACTGAACAAGAGTTGTGACAGTGGGCTTCCTTGACTTGTTCCTGATTTTAGAATGAAAACTTAGTTTTTATCCATTTAGTATGATGTTGGCTGTTGGTTTGTCATAGTTAGTTTTTACCAGATTGAGATGAAGACTATCTTTTCTAATTTTCTGTAGGGTTTTTATGAAGAATTGGTGGTAAACTTTGTCAAATGGTTTTTCTGCATCTATTGAGATGATCATGTGATTTTGTCTATTGTTCGGTTTATATGGTGTACTACATTTATTCCTTTGTATATGTTGAACCATCCCTACGTCCGAAGGTTTATAACATTCTTGTTGATTTGGTGTATTTCGTTTACTATTTGTGTTCATTAAGAAGATTTGCTGTTAGTGGTCTTCTTTGATTGGATCCTTCTCTGATTTTCATATCAGGGTAATGCTTGCTTTCAGTGATAAATTTTGGAGTATTGTTTCCTTTTAAAGTTCATTAAAGCAATTGAGAAGCAGTGGCATTAGATCTTCTCTAAACTTCTTGTAGAATTCAGCAGTGAAATTGTCAGAATCTGTACTTTTCTTTGTTGGTAGTTTTTTTAGGGGGAGTGTACTAGGAATCGAACTCATTACCTTGTGCTTGCCAAGCAGGCACTGAGCTGTATCTTCAGCCCCCCTTGTTTTTTTTTTTTTTTCTTTTTTATCGGTACCGGGGATTGAACTCACGACTGTCTGCTTGCAAGGCAGGTGCTTATGCTGCTGAGCTAAATCCCCAGCCCCTAGCCCCCCCTTGTTGATAATTTGTTAATTATATATTTTATTTCATTTACTGATATTGGGTTATTTATAATTTTTATATCTTGATTTAGCTTTAGTAATTCATATGCTTGTATGAATCTTCTCTTTTCTCTGGCATTTTCAGTCTTACAGGTTCTCAAAGTAGAAGTGTCAACTTGAGAAGTTTAGAAGTTTAAGTGACTCTGCAGGGGATCTGGGTCCTCAGTTTGTAAAAATCTTCATTCTGTGGGAGAGTAGTGCTACACCCTCCTGAGGGTGGGTAACCTGAATACAGTGTAAGGGAGGAAAAGAGGCTTGCTTTTCCCCCACTTTTGCTCTTGTTGTTTTTACCATCTTTTGCCACCTTGAATGGTTGCACCTCAGCCATACCACCTGTGGAGCCGACTGATTAAGTACTGAAATCTCCACAGACTATGAGTTAAGTAAACCTTTCCTTCCTTAACTTTGGGTGTCAGATATTTGGTCCTAGCAACGAGAGAAAAGTGACCAAGACAGTAGGTATTGATGATCTTCTGAGTTTTCACAGAATCTGTTGGAATTTCACCCATTTCATTCCTAAATGTATGGATTTGAGTCTTTTCTCATATTTTTTGGTAAGGTTGGGTAAGGGTTTGTTCTTCAGTCAAGGAACCAAGTGTTTATTCATTGATTCTTTGTATTTTCTTTGTTTCTGTTGCATTAATTTGTGCTGATCTTTACAATATCCTCTCTTGTGTGAGGTTTGAACTTTACCTGCTCTTCTTTTTCTAGACGTTTGAGATTAAACACTATTAGGCTATTTATTTGAGCTTTTTTTTCTTCCCCATATCGGGGAATTTACCACTGTATTCTTCCCTCAAAAGACAGATTTCATCGTCTTCTTTAAGTCCCAGCATGTTATACCAGGATTATTATTTAATTGTAGAAAAATTTTAATTCCTTGTTTTATTCCACATGTGATCTAATGTTTTTTCAGGAGGGTTATATTTCGTTTTCATTCATTTTTGATATTTTTGTGGTTTCTTTGCCATTGATTTTCAGTTTCATTTCACTATGTTATGATAATATGTATGAGGATAACTTAATTCTTTTACATTTACTTAAGCTTGTTCTGTGAGCTAGTTGTCTGTTTTGGAGTATGTCCATGTGCAGCTGAGAAGAATGTATATTCTGATCTTGTGGTGTGGAACATTGCATGCATCTACTAAGTCCATTTGTTCAAAAGTTTGAGAGGTCTTTCATTGTTGTTTTTTTTTTTTTGTCTAGTTCATTTGTTTATAACAGTGATATAACGATGTGTCCCCTGTCACAATTTTTTGTTTTGTCTTTTTGAGACAGGATCTCACTATGCAGTTAAAGCTGGCCTTGAGCTCACCAAGTAGCCAGGCTTATTTTGAATTTACAACAATCCTCGTGCCTTAGCCTCCTGAGTACTGGAATTACAGGCATGTGTTCCCATACCTGGTAAATGGTATTATTGATTATTAGATTGTTTATGTCTCTTAATGTATGTGTTACATAGTCATGTGCACCGGTACTTGGAACATATATATGTATCATTGTTATCTCTTCATCTTTAGTTGTTTCATTTACAAGGATGTAGTATCCTTTGTCTGTTTTAATCCTTCTTAGGTTGAAACCCATTTTGTCTACAAATAGAATAGCTACCCCTCTTTTCGTGGGTTCCTGTTTTATGGAATATTGACTTTGAGTCTGTGAATTTCTTTTTGAATTTAGACGTTTCTTACATGCAGCATGTTATTGGATACTGCTTTTTAATACATTCTGTTAGTCTGTTTCTTTTGATTGGTAAATTGAGATAATTGAAAGTTATCACCATTAATTATCACCACAGTGATAATTTTTATCACCATTAAGATTGATGGTGATAACTGATGTACATTGACTTATCCTTGCCATGTTATTTTCCTGTTGCTGGCTCCCATTTTTTCTCCTTTGTTTAACTGTTTGCATTGCCTGGTGGATTCATTTTGTTGGAATTCATGGAGTTGTAATCCTTGTTATCTGTTTCAAATGTCCTTTAGAACATTTTGGAGTGCAGGATGGTTGTTTATGAATTATTTTCAGGTGTTCTTTGTCACAAAAATGTTTTATTTTTCCATCAATTTTGAAATAAATTTGTGTGGTGCATCAATCTTGGGGTGAAGGCTTTTTTTTCGGGGGGGGGGTTTTAAATATTTGACTCCATGGTCTTCTTGATTTGAGGATTTGCATTTAGATTTTGGTGGACATTCCTTTGTATGTGATTTGTTTCTCATTTCTAACATTTAATGAATATTCTGTTGAATTTGTGGTATCCTGACTACTATATGCCTTGGTGTATTTTTTTTCATGATGGCTAATTATATTTCTGTATGCCTCATTTATTTGTATGTCAAAATCCTTTTCCCTGCTTGGGATGTTTTCTTCTTTGACTTCTGTGAACATATTTTTTAAAGAAATGTCATTGGTGCTATCTCCTTTTTCATCCTACCTCTTGACTTTATGGGGCTGAGAAGTTGCTGCCTACTTGTCCCACATCTGGTTCTTTGACACTGATCTAGAGCAGTTTATTAAGACCCTTAGGTAATCTCAATCTTGGTATGCCGGGAAAAAAAATGGTTCAATCATTAATAAAAATAGCATTAAACAGCCTAGAAAATGACAAACAGAGGCAAGAGTTAGTTTGCCAGCTTTAAACATATGGACTACATATATTGTTATATAACAGATTCTACAAAGAACCAGAAAATTGTATGCATTAAGTAAGCCCTTAATATATTGATTTTACCCTGTAGGGGTAAACATTTAAGAGGGGTTATGGGGGAAAATAGAATGAAATTTCAAATAAGGCTAGAGGACACTGCAAACTTTGGGAAAATAACAAGACAGGAGAGAGAGAGAGAAGGAAGAAACAAAAACAAGAAAAGAACAATAAAAAAGATCCTAAATAATTCAAAATTAGTCAGTGAAATCAAAGATGTAATTAAAAACCTACCAACACAGAAAAACTTGGCCCTGATGGATTCACTGCTGAATTTCATAAGAAATATAGAGAACAATTAATACTACTAATTCTCAAACCCTTTAGTGAAGTTGAAAGAAAAGCAATACTCCTAAATTCATTCTTGGAAGCAAGCCTCACCTGATACCAAGGCAAGAGTAAGACCTAACCAAGAAAGAGAACTACAGCCCAGTTTCCCTAATGAACATAGATAGAAAAATCCTCAATAAGATACTGGCAAACAGAATGCTGCAAATCATCAAGAACATCAAACATCATAACCAATTTGGATTCATTGCAGAAATGTAGGAATGGTTCTATATACGTTAACCAGTAAATGTAATATACTGTACACACAGAGCCAAGGACAAAATCCATATGATCATCTCAATAGATGTAGAAAAAGCTTTTCATAAAGATCAGCACTCATTCATCTAAAAACACTTCACAAAATTGGAATAGATGGTCTTTATCTCAATCCAGTAAAAGTCATCTGTGAGAAACCAACAGCCACTGTCATCTAAATGTACAAAAATTAAAAGTTTTCACTCCATAATCAGGAAAAAGAAAAGGATTTCCACTATCACCACTCTTATTCAGTATAGTCCTGGAAACTTTAGCCAGAGCAGCCACCCAAGAGAAAAAAAGAAAATAACAATAGAAAAGGATATCACTGATGACAAGATACTCTACATAGACCCCAAAAATTCAACCAAAAGACTTCTAGATTTAATAAATTCAATAGTGTAGCTGAATACAAAGTCAACATTCAAAAATAAATAGCTTTACTGTACAAGAATAACCAATTTACTGAGAGAGAAATTAGGAAACGACATCATTCACAGTAGCATCAAGAAAAATGAATGTCAAGGAATCAGTCTAAAAAAGGAAGTAGAATATGTCAGTGAAAACTATAGTACTCTGAGAAAGGAAGATGAAGATACCAGAAAATGGAAAGAAATCCCTTGCTCTTGGGTAGGAAGAACTAATATAGTAAAAATGACCCTATTTCCAAAACTTACGCAGGTTTTGCAGGAACTAATGCAATTCAGTTCAAAATTCCAACAACATATCTCTTAGAATTAGAGAAAACAATCCTAAAATTCATTTGCAATCAGAAAAGAGCTAGAATACAAAACTCATTTCTGGCCAACAAAGACATGGCAGGAGGCATCACAATCTGAGACTTGAAATTATACTACAAAGCTTGTGTGATTAAAAACAGCATGACACTTAAAATAAATCAGACCTGAGTATCAGTGGGACACATTAGAAGATGCAAACTCCAGTCATACTTAGCCACTTTATCTTTGACAAAAGTTCCAAACATATTCAAAGATAGCATGTTTAATATACGGTTCTAGAAAAGCTGGCTTCACAAATTTTGAAGACTAAAATTGGACCCATCTCTTTCACTGTGCTCAAAACTGGAGTCAGAGATCTGAATATTAAAAGAGAAATATTAAATCAACTGCAAGATAGAATAGGTACGAATCTTGAAGTCATTGGTGTGGGCACACACTTAATGAACAATATACCGATTGCAGAACAGTCACAAAAAACAATTGGAATGTCATTTTATTAAAAAGCTTTTGCACAGCAAGAGAGACCAATGGAGTAAAGAGAGATACCATAGTGTGAAAAAATATTTTTGTGAGCTATTCCTCAGATGAAGGATTACAGCAGAGAACATATAAAGAACTAAAAAAAGTAAAAAAAAATCAAGCTTCCGAATTAAAACCCAATCCAAAGATGTGATCTGAGATGAATACATGCTTGTCTGATGAAGAATTAAAAACAGCAAATAAATATAGAAAAATGTTCCCCATCACTGGTCATTTGAGAGATGCTCATTGAAATAATTCTGAGACACCATCTCACCCTAGAAATAATGACTGATACCATCAACTCAACCAGTAAATATGCTATCAGGGATATGAGGGAAAGGCACCCTTCTTCATTATTGGTGGGTATATAGCCTGGTGGAACCCCTGTGGAAATCATTGTGGAGACTGCTTTAAAAACTAGGACCAGAGGTCTCATTTGACCCAGCTATTTCCCTTTTGCGTGTCTTCCTGAAAGAATGAAAAGCATCAGAAGCGGCTACTCCAGACCCAGCCATGTTGGGATTTAGGCAGCTGCACAAGAAGGCAATTTGCCCTTCCTCTTGGTAAGTGCGCTTGGCCCCAGCCAGCAGACTGAGAATCAAACATCCCCCCTGGCCCCTCTCTCTCGTCAGCAACTGACGACAGTTCTGAGGATCTCTTGGGAGGATGACCATATGCAATATAGCAAATAAGGGGGATTTCCTTTTATGTTCTGTTTGAAGGCAAAGGTTTTTTTTCACTGTTATGTTTTGTAATGCTAGTTATGCTTTATTCAGTATTCTCCTTCAATTGGTTTTACAATGATCTGTTACTGGTTTGATTTGGCTAAACCTAATCAACTGGACAACTATTGTGAAGATAATGAGATATATAATACCTATTACTACTATCCCAGTATCCTGCTTTGAAGTTCTGTACCAATGTCACTACATTGTGTCAACTGCATTTGTTTTATCTTGTTCTGTTGTATTTTTACTACATTCTAAATAAAAAAAATTTAAAGAATTAAAAAGCATCATACCATAATGGTTTGTGCACTCCCATATTTATAGTAGTAGAATTTGTAATAGCCAGAACTTACAGCCCAAATGCCCATCAACTGAGAAATGGAAAATGAAGGTGTTGATTTTTTTATACAATGGAGTAGTACTCTACATAAAGGATAAAGTAGTACTCTACATAAAGGATATTGTGAAATTAAAAAAATGCTCAAATGCTCAAATTAACAGGGAAGGTAAGTTGGAAAGAATAGAAAGTAAAAGTATTTAAAAAGTGAAAAAATACCAATAGTATTGGATTGAATAAAAAATAATGTTGAGAATGTTCATTGGTCATTCTGAAAGACTTCCTTGGAAACTTCTTGCTGTAAATAAGTATCTTAAATTTGAGATTGGATCTGGGTCCTTTCCTTCTCTTTCTCTTTCTCTCTCTCTTTCTCTCTTTTTCTTTCTCTCTTTCTTCTTCCTTCCTTCCTTCCTTCCTTCCTTCCTTTCTTTCTTTTTTGTACTGGGGATCAAATGCACAACCTCATGCTTTGCCAGACAGGCGCTTATGCGGCTGACCTAAATTCCCGGCCCTTTTGGTGTGGTATTTTTTAAGTGATATTTTCCCCTAGATTCTAGATGATAGAATGTGAGAGTATCATCATTTTCTGTATATAATTTTCCATTCTCTTATTATAATAAGCCAGTTTGACACAATATAGTTCTTTCTACTGGTGTGGAAATGGTGTGACTGTATGCCACAGCTGTAGAACTTCAGAATGATGACTCAAAATGAAAGCAACATCACTTACCTTGGGTGCAACCTTCTTTGGCCATGGGGTACTAGGACTCTGCTCTGAATTTGTTAACATTTTAGTCATTTTGGGTGGAGTATGGATTTGGGGTACACTATTTTTTGTTGTTGTGGAATGGGTTAGTGCTCAGCAAAAATACATACTTGAGTTCAAAAGAAAAATTAAGAAAAGTCAAAGGTCCAACTTCTGCTGATTGTTGGTGAATTTTTGCCTCTGGGTATTACTGAGACTGTGGAGAAGAGAGTAGTTTCTCCTTGTGATGATGACTATTTTGTGAAAAATCCTCATATTAAACTTTCTGACTTCATCTTTCTCTGTCTTATCATCTGTAATTGAGATACTCTGGGCTACTGAGGCACCAAGAATTAGTATAATCCTAGGAATATATTTACCCTTCTGAGTGTGAGTTCCCTTGCGAATGGCAGTAAAACAGGCTTCTAGCTTCTCTTTTGCTTCTTTTGGAGGAAGTTTTTGTTTAAAATACAAGCAAATACTTAAGAATTTCTTTTCAAGATTTCACCATATGATTGTGATTTTCTTAGTTTAAAACTGAATGTAAAATTTTTTGGGACCCAATGCAGCTCCTGAGGTTCTTTGAGTTAAGGACTGGCGAGAGATGAGAAAAATAAAGAACAGCAGAGCTGGGGTCAGATGGAGCCCTTACTCTCCTGATGGGAGGAAAGGAATTGCTCAACCAGTGCTGCATGTTTATTTATACCCTCCAAAGAAGAGTATCAATTTCCATTCCACTGCCTAGCAACTTGTTTGCCTGGCAGGCCTGGGCCCTCTGCCTTTCCAGTGCTGGAACAACTTGTTTATATAGTTTGTTTTTGTTTCTCTGCTTTTTCTGGGCTGGACTTATTTCAGCCCCATACATGTGATCAATCTTCAGCTTCAACAGCTCAGCTCACAATAAAAATTAACATCTGAGGAAGCAAAGAAATATTTGCATTTTGCATGTTTTGCATTTATCATAAATATGTTTAAAGATCCATAGAATTAAGATGGAGGTAAGAAAATCAACTGTAATTACTTCACCTGTATTTCCCTGATTTCATGTAACTATTCATATGATGGCCACAGGATGGAATTTTGTGCACTCTTTGACTTTGGACAACTTCAGCAACAAAGGTTATTTGGTTTTCTCTCTGGAATTTTGAAAGAGTTAATTGAGGTTAATATATTATTGTTAGGATGATGAAAAGATTATGTGAGGTTCATCAGACAATTGAATGGACACAGCATTGTAAGGAAGTGTGTATTTCAGCTTCTTCATGCTCCTACTCCACTACCTCTGGACTTGTGCTACTTCAAGATTGTTTTGTTTTTTCTTGTCTTTTGTATGATTAACATTGTTACTATTAATTGATTTTTTTTGCAAGTGATATCGAATTAGAATGATAGAATAAGAAAAAAATACTGGTCTGATAAGCTTGAGACATTTTTAGCTAAATAAATGTACTTTGATATACTTAAGTGAAATAGATTGGATACACATGTAAATATCTCATAATTTCTCTGGTGTGAGAAACCATAAGTATAAATAAGGACCAAAATACACCAGCCTTATTTAATATTCAGTTAAGATTTTTTTCTATGAAGCCTGGTTGAAATTTCAGAATGCTACTTAAGTATAATCAAAGACAGAATGACTTAATTGTATGAATAGTCATATTTGAAGAGGTATAATATATGGTCTGTCAGAACCATTCATTAAATATCCGATGCTGTGTTTTGGTAATTTTCCAGAATTTGTCTCTAACCTCTGTTTACAATGAGTTCAGAAGTATAATATCTATGATCATTTCAAGCAACTATGCTACTATTTGTGTATTTCTGTAACAGTGAGTTGTAATCTAGTATCAGAATTGTTATGTGAATATATGTGTATACACATGTGCTGCAACCCATGAAGTTCTTGAGGTTCTTGGGGTGAAGGACTGGGAGAGATGAGAAAATAAAGAAGAGACAAAGCCCGGGTCAGGTGGAGTTCTTATCTTCCTGGTGGGAGGAAAGGAACTCAACCAATGTAGCATGTTTATTTATATACTCATAAGGATGATGTCAGTTTCAATCCTGCTGCCTAGAAACTCATTGCTTGGATTGTCTAGGGTCTCGATATTTTTCTGGGCTGTAGCAACTTCTCCAGGTGGCTTACCCCAGGCATTCTTTTGTTTTTGCTATGATCATGTCCCAGCCATGCTATAGCCCTGCACATGTGGTTATTTTCTAGCTTCAACAGCTCCCAACACACATCGGTTTGTGATCAAGATATGGAGTTAATGTTTGAAGGAATCTAACTGAATTCAGCTTTTATAAGAGCAATTCAGATATCCTAGGATGTGAATCTCAACCTTCTTTTAGGAAATGTGTCTATGATTTATTTAGGAGCCCGTGACTTTGGAGGATGTAGCTATAAACTTCACCATAGAGGAATGGGCTTTGTTGAATCCATCCCAAAAGAAGTTCTACAGAGATGTGATGTGGGAAACATTTGTAAATATGACTGCTGTAGGTAAGAATGATATTGTTTTTTCATGTACACTGTCAGAGAGCATTGGTTTTAGTTACTGATAGTGATTCATTAAATAGAATGTGAAAATATTTTGAAGAGTATCCTAGGGCTCTAACATTGTACTATTTATGAATGTAATGTCATCTGCCAATTTTTGTATAATGATGTATATTTTTGTATTTCTGTGGCTACAATTCAGGAAATACCTGGAGAAATCAGCAACATGAAGAAGAATACAAATATTTCCCAAGAAATCTAAGGTAATTTGCATTCATAAGGAAAAGTAATATTCTCTAAGAATTGATGTATGAGCAGAAGAAATATTACAAACAAGGAAACTAGACAAATGATGTTATGTTCACATTTATTTAATCTCATGGAAATTCTCCTGGTATGCGTACAGGTTGCTATTTTTTATAATCTGACATTGAATAAAGAGTTTTTCCAATATAGGAAACTAACTTGGTAGAGATGATGCAACAAATGACAGTATCTCATACATTAGTATAAAAACTTTAACAATAATGTCATCAAAATTTATGAATTTGGTTTTAGGGATTTGCATAGGTTTATTTGAAAATAAAGTTTGAACATTGATAGAAACTTATCTTCAAGTTATCTATCTATCTATATGAGTATGAGACCTGCATTATCTAAAAAATTGCCTCCCTGGAGACAGTATTCAAAAGGCAAATTAATGGTGGTACAATAATAGATGTTTTCCAAGCATACTCCAGAGAATTGAGTGCCTTCATGCTTTAAAATTCTTAGAAGCCACCCTTATATGATGTTGGAAGGAGTATAAAATATAAGCATTTAGATAATATATAGATGTCTCAGATGTTAAAATACAAGTTTGCATTTGATCCAGCAAACCTCCCTATGTACATTCTGAAAGGATTTATTCATATCTTAGTTGTACATGCATAGTCATGCTGAAATCAGGGTGTGCATGAGTATTCACAATACTTAGATTGTGAAAATTATTCACAGCACCACAGTTCTCCTAGCAGCCTAACTGCCTACCATGGAATGCATGGATAAATGAGCGTGTGGGAGAAACTCAACAGTGGTGCCTTCTTACAATCCCAGTGCTCTGCTTAGCTAAGCAAGCAGAATGGCAACATGAAGTTCACACTCTCCAAATTCATGATCAGGGAGACTCTCAAAACAAGACATGACAAATCTAGAAATGGAGTTTAGTGCTAAAACCCTTATTTAATTCTCAGCACTGCAAAAATGAGCTGTATATTCAGACATAGAGAAGAATATCATTATCTTTTGACAAAAAAGTCCATCTCATCATGTGAAATGAAATGTTAGACACAGAAACTGAAGTATCACTTTTATATGAGTTACCAAAGTATAAATTAGGTAGTAAAATTAAGGAGAAGTCATAGAGAACAGAAAGGCTAATTTGTTGGAGATGCAAACATGACCTGGGTAAGAAGAGAAAGAGAGAGTGATGAGGGAAAAGGTGCCAAAAATGATCAATATGATCAATGACTTAATTGAAGCTAGATCTAACATATTGCCAATATTTATCACCTTAAAATTCCCCAATGCAAACCATCATCTGGGAAATGTGTTTTGGAGGCATCCTCTAGGTCATTTAGTCAATTTTTCCTCAAAAATTTTTAGCAAGCATCAAGACAGAATTTGTCCTGGTAAATTATAGACAGACTTTTAAAAAAATCTATTTGTAGAGAGCGCTTTTTATAAATTTGCTCAAAATCTTTGTTCCTTTTTTCTTTACAGAAATGAAGAGGTAGCAAAATGGTATGAACATAAACCTTGTAATCAATATGAAAATGTATTCCTTTGGGCTTCATTTGTTAATATGGACATGCAGCAAGCTGCTTTCAACCAAGTTGAAAACTTTGCTTGTAGAGAGCCCCCAATTGGGCATTTATCACAAAATGAACCCATTTTACCTCACATTGACATGAAGCCAGATGAGTTTTTGGGATTTGATGACAAGCTCTTTGAATTTGGTGAATGTGGAAAAACCTGCAGTGATCTCCAGTCCTTTGTGAATCATGCAAGGACAAAGACTGGAAATATTCTTTATCAATATGAGCAAAATGGGAAATCCTGCTCTGAAAGTAATATAACAAGTTGCTTTGGAGATAAGACCATTGTGGGTAAGAAAAGTATGAAAGCTTTGAGGATTCACAGTGATATTCAAATTTATGAAAGTATTCACACTGGGAAGAAACTATGTATGTGCAAGCAATTTGGAAAAAGTTTTAATTCTCAAAGTTTTTGTAAAATTCATGAAAGTTTTCACATGGAGGAGAAACCCTATGTATGTAAGCAATGTGGGAAAGCATTCAACACATACAAAAACTGTCAAAGACATAGAAGAATTCACACTGCAGAGAAACCATATGTATGTAAGCAATGTGGAAAAGCATTCAGTACTCACAGTTATTGCCAAAGACATAAAAGAACCCACACTGGAGAGAAACCATATGTGTGCAAGGAATGTGGGAAGGCATTCACTGCATACCAGTACTGTCAAATACATGAAAGAAATCACAGTGGAGTGAAACCTTATATGTGTAAACAATGTGGGAAGGCATTCACTATGCAGAATACTTGTAAAATGCATGAAAGAATTCACACTGGTGAGAAACCTTTTGTGTGCAAGGAATGTGGAAAATCATTCACTAGAAAGTATTCTTATAAAATACATGAAAGAATTCACACTGGTGAGAAACCTTATGTGTGCAAGCAATGTGGAAAAGCATTCACTACCAAGGGTTCTTATAACATACATGAAAGATTTCATACTGGAGACAAACCTTATGTGTGCAAATACTGTGCGAAGGCATTCACTTCACATAGTGTGCATCAAAGACATGAAAGAATTCACAGTGGGCTGAAACCTTATATGTGTAAACAATGTGGGAAGGCATTCATTACATACAGAGATCATCAAATACATGAAAGAATTCATACTGGGGAGAAACCTTTTATGTGTAAGCAATGTGGAAAAGCATTTACTACAAAAAGTTATTTCAAAATACATGAAAAAAGTCACACAGGAGAGAAACCTTATGTGTGCAAGCAATGTGGAAAAGCATTCACTACCAAAGGTTCTTATAACATACATGAAAGATTTCATACTGGAGAGAAACCTTACGTGTGCAAGTACTGTGCAAAGGCATTCACTTCCTATAGTGTTCATCAAAGACATGAAAGAACTCACAGTGGAGAAAAACCTTATGTCTGTAAACAGTGTGGGAAGGCATTCACTGCATACAGAGACCATCAAAGACATGAAAAAATTCATAATGGGAAGAAACCTTTTATGTGCAAGCAATGTGGAAAAGCATTTACTACAAAAAGTTACTTCAAAATACATGAAAAAAGTCACACAGGTGAGAAACCTTACGTGTGCAAGGAATGTGGGAAGGCATTCACTGCATACCGGTACTGTCAAATACATGAAAGAAATCACAGTGGGGTGAAGCCTTATATGTGTAAACAATGTGGGAAGGCATTCACTATGCAGAATACTTGTAAAATGCATGAAAGAATTCACACTGGGGAGAAACCTTTTGTGTGCAAGGAATGTGGAAAATCATTCACTAGAAAGTATTCCTATAAAATACATGAAAAAAGTCACACTGGTGAGAAACCGTATGTGTGCAAACAATGTGGGAAGGCATTCATTACCAAGGGTTCTTATGACATACATGAGAGATTTCATACTGGAGAGAAACCTTATGTGTGCAAATACTGTGCGAAGGCATTCACTTCACGTAGTGTGCATCAAAGACATGAAAGAATTCACAGTGGGATGAGACCTTATATGTGTAAACAATGTGGGAAGGCATTCACTACATACAGAGACCATCAAAGACATGAAAGAATTCATACTGGGGAGAAACCTTTTATGTGTAAGCAATGTGGAAAAGCATTTACTACAAAAAGTTATTTCAAAATACATGAAAAAAGTCACACAGGAGAGAAACCTTATGTGTGCAAGCAATGTGGGAAGGCATTTCTTACTCACCAATCTTGTCAAATACATGAAAGAACTCACACTGGGGAGAAACCTTATTTGTGTGATAAATGTGGAAAAGCGTTCGCCAGAAAGAGTTCTTATAACGTACATGAAAAATGTCACTCAGGAGAGAAACCTTATATGTGCAAGCAATGTGGGAAGGCATTCACTACACACAGGTACTGTCAAATACATGAAAGAACTCATACAGGTTAGAATCTAGCATGTCAGCCATGTGGAAAAAGATTTGCTGGTCTCTCTCTCTCTCTCTCTCTCTCTCTCTCTTTCTCTCTCTCCCTCTCTGTCTCTTTCTTTCTCTGGCCCCCTCTATAAGTAAGTCTCAGTCTCTCTCTCTGTCTCTGTCTCTCTCTCTCTGTCTCTCTCTCTCTCTCTCTCTCTCTCTCTCTCTCTCTCTCTCTCTCTCTCTCTCAGTAGGGACCCTGGGTAGGAACCTGTTGTATATAAGCAATGTGGTAAAAGTACTTAATGAATAGTTTTTATCAGCTACATGAAATGAATTACACTGGTGAGAAACCCTATATACTTAAGTTTTTTTGAAAATTGCTCATATATTGGTGACGTGCAAATGAAATGAAAAATTATATGCCGTCATTTCTTCACAAATTTTGCAGAAAATACACTCCTGGACGGAGAATCCTAGAATATATTCCTTCTATGTTTTTCAGTAAATCACTTGTAAATGTCTCAACTAAGTATCTGTAGTCTTTACTATAAAAAATATTGACATGTATATTTTATTTTTTGACATAATATATTTTTGATTAAGCCATTATCTTCTAACTTAATATGTAGTATCTGATTAAACAAGGGAAATTGAAATGTATTTCTCACTTCTAAGTAGGATTATTGTTTGCATAGTTTTGATTTTGACTTGTTTTTACTATTGGAAAGTATAGGTCATTAAAAAATAAATTTTTTTAATTGATGAGATTTCCCACCAGTTTTGATTTTAATTTTTTTGGTATATATGCTTCATATTCTTTGCAAAAAGTTTTTTTTCAATTTCAAGTTACAGTATGTGTGTATATGTATGTGTATTTAGGAAAATGTGAAATGGGGTTTTTAAAAGTTGAATTGTTTTCACACTACATGGATTTGCAAATGGTTGGCTTTTCATATCATAACAGTACAGCTGAATATATCCCAGCATAATTATATCAAGTATAAAATTTCATCTAGTTTGCTTTCAAGTCACTGTCAGTATTGGAATTTACATAAAATTTTGTTTTCTTTCCATCCGCATTTGACTTTTCATTTATATATTGCTATGACTTCAAATTTCTGGTAATTTTACCATGACTTGTAAAAAAAAAAATCATACTCCTGTTTTTGATTGTGCAACATCAAATGGACTATGACTTGTCTGCAAAAGGATATCATGATTTGTAGTAATGTATCAGCACTTACTAGAGAAGTTTAATGTGGGACATACATAAAAATGTGCAATATTGGCTTAAAAGACTGCTCACAAATCAAATGTGCAAGAGTGCAAAAGGAGTACTTTGCACTGCATATCAAAAAACTCCAGTGGGGGCTGGGGATTTAGCTCAGCGGCATAAGCGCCTGCTTTGCAAGCAGGCAGTCATGAGTTCGATCCCTGGTACTGATAAAAAGGAAAACGACAAAAAAAACAAAACAAAACAAAAAAAACAACAACAACTCCAGTTGAAGGCCTGGCATTGTAGTACCCTGCGGGAGGCCATATCACAAGATCAAAGGGTCTGTGCCAAAAAGTTCAATGGTGTGAACTGGAGGCTGAGGGGTCTGCTCCGGGAGACTAAAGAGTCTGTGCTAGAAACCTGGAGATGGCTTCCAAGGTGACAGTGAATACTGGAGATCCTGCAAAGAAACAAACAAAAAAACTCTTCATTTTTAAAAATAACATTCTGGCAACATTCCTCCCTAGAGTAGGTCTTCCACACCCAGAATTTTGCTGGACCAATTTAGTTGGACATACAGTACTCAAGGTGTCACAATTAACTGTCACAATCCACCCTTGATATTTTACAGACATATTTCTTTAAACCATACTCCGGATACAGAAATAAGCTCAGAAATACACCTAATGTGTTTTGACTGTCCAGAATACAAATGAAAACAAACTTGTTTCCTTCCCAGAACAGAAGGGAAGTTTTCTTTGGTGATGCTAACATTTCATAACTTGAACACTATAACATGGGTTTAATAAGACTTAACCAATGTTAAGTTTATTAACACTACATTACATTGGAAGCATATTAAGAGAAAGAATTACAGTTACAATCCTTGTTTCTGTAGCTGATCACAGCACCATAGCTCTCATTTAGATCTTATTTGTACTACCCATTTGGTATTTCCTTGACCCTCAGCAAGCCCCTCAGCAGATGTTGGTTCTTTTCTTGGTGCAGTGACTTATACCTTCATTCTTGAAGGTTCTAGACCATTTGACATTCTGTCTGGATTGGATTGTTACAGTGTTCTCTCGGCAATCTGGTCCATCAGCCCTCTCAACAGTGAAATGCCCTTTCCTGCTTGATTCCTTAGAGTCATAAGGAGATCAAAATGACTATTCAGTGGTACCCTTGTACTTCCAGGACTCCCCATACCTAGAATTAATATTTCTTTCTAACCCAGCAGAGCATGAGGTCATTAGAATAAGATGCAAAATTTTGCTGGTAGATGATCTCAGTAACGGTGAGTGGTGCCACTGTTACTTCCACCCTTTTGTTCCTGAACCCATGAATGTTAGCTATGGGAAATACACCCTATAGTGGAGGCTGATTCAAAGCATGTACAATTTTTAGGAGAACCTTTCCCAGTTCCTGCAAGCTATTGCCACCTAACTGATGCTGCAAGTGTGTCTTGGCAAAAGACCATTCCAACTTTCTATCAAATCATCTGCTTCTTTGTGTTGAATACAGTAATCCCAGTGAATTCCATGAGTATGAGCCCCTCTCCTCACTTCATTGGCTATCAAATGTGTTTCTTGGTGTGAGTTACAATGCTGTGTGGAATTTGATGATAGGTGGTAAGGCATCATGTCAATCCATGAATAGGAGTATTGGTAGAAACACTGCAAGCAGGAAAAGCAAATCCAATTTAAGTATGACAATAAGCACAAAGCATACCTTTTCATGATGAAAGCACAGTTCAGTCTGATCAACCTGCCACTCAGTCAAAGGCTGTTCATCCCAAAAGATGGTGCCATATTTGAGAATCATTGGGTGTGCAAAGCTACCGTGATAAAATCAGCATGGTACTGGCAAATAGATAGACCTGAGTATCATGGCAACAAACTAAAGGTTCTCCTAAAAATTGTACATGCTTTGAATCAGTATCCACTATAGGGTGTATTTCCCATAGCTAACATTCATGAGTTTAGGAATAAAAGGGTGGAAGTAACAGTGGCACCACTCACCGTTACTGAGATCATCTACCAGCAAAATTTTGCATCTTATTCTAATGACCTCATACTCTGCTGGGTTAGAAAGAAATATTAATTCTAGGTATGGGGAGTCCCGGAGGTACAAGGATACCACTGAATAGTCATTTTGATCTCCTTAGATGCCCATTTTATCTTTGAGAAAGGGGCCAAACATATTCAGTGGAAGAGATTACCTCTATTACATGGTGCTGGAAGATTAAATTTCCACATACTGAAGACTAAAACTAGACACATATTTATCACCATGCACTAAATTAAAGTCAAAATGGATCAAAGATCTAAATATTAAAATGGAAACACTAAATCTAATGGAAGAAAAGATAGGTAGAAATCTTGGCCGGGAGAACATGGCGGAGAGATAACAGCAACTATGGGGGCTCTCTGAAAGAACCAGCTTGGAATTCAGGAATGGTGCGGAGTAAGGAGTCGTGAGCAGGTGGAGATATGCCCTGCTGACCCAAGAATGAACTGGGCTAAAAGAAACCAACTTGGAGTGCAATCTTGGTGCTATAACAGGAACAGAAAAGCCTCTGTGGAAGCTGGAGCCCGCGGCATTGGAAGCCACGATTTGGGTTTCCCGCTGCGCGGCGGCTGCGTCTACATCGGCTCGGCAGGGAGACAGACGCGTGGAAACTCTGAGAACGGGAATCGGCGAACGGAGTTGAAAACAGGACGGGCGGGGAGCTGTGCATTGACTTGTGGTGAGGTGAATAAGAGAAACCGACACTCTTCCCACGGTTTGGGAGACTCCAACAGAGGACATTCTGGGACTGGGCAGACTTGCGGGAGCAGGGCGCTGCAGCAACTTCAGCCACGTATCCCCCTCTCAAGGGGGATTGGTGAGAAGTGCCTAGCCTACGTGACACTGCTGGTGGAGACCCAGTAGCCTGGCACAACCCAGATCCCAGAGCCTGAGGGTGACTTGGAGGGGTGGGCCCCACATAGGCTGCCTGATCTACAACTTCCTGGTGTGCTGCAGTGGGCGGGAACACCTAGCCGGCGCAATTCAATCAGACTGTGGCTGACAGGAAAGGAAGCTGGGCCTCCTATATAAGCTTGTATATATAAGGAACAAAGAATATGGGAAGAGGCAGTAACAAGAAAGGATCCTTGGCCCCTAATCCTGAGAAACAGGCAATAGCGGACACCACACCAATAGACATAAAGTGCCATTTAGAGAGCCTCATAGATTAGTTCAGGAATCAAGTTATTAATGACCTGAAGCTATAAATAAGCAGAATAGCTAGAGAAATGCTAAGCACCACCCAAGAAAAAACGGATGGTGGAATGGAAGATAAGAAAGAGGGGAGAATTGTTTGATGGATAAAATAGAGAAAGCATAGAATATGTGAAGCAGGTTCAAAGAGACTACCAGGAAACGAAAAACTCTATCGAAAACTGGCAAAACAGCTTGAAAGAAACTAAGGACAGACTATCTGAACTGGAGGGCAGATTTGTAATATGGGAGAATGAAATGAAAAACTTCTTAAAAGTAACAAAGAAACAAACAGCAATAATACAAAGAATAGAAGATGATAAGAGGATCCATAACGTAAGAATTAAGAACATAAAAGAAGAAGTAGGGACACAAACAAATGAACTACAAAAGCTACTCACAGAAACAATCCAGGAGAATTTTCCTAATTTAGCAAAAGGTAAAGATACTCAGTTGTATGAAGCATACAGGACCCCAGCCACCTACAACCCAAACAGAGCAACACCCAGGCATATAATAATTAAAATTCCAGAAATTCAATACAAGAACAGAATATTAAAAGCTGTCAGAGACAAGAAACAGACCACTTACAAGGGAACACCTATCAGAATTACAGCAGATTTCTCTGCACAAACCATCAAATCACGAGCGTGGGGGGAAATAATTCAAGCTTTGAAAGATAATAATCTCCAGCCAAGATTGATATATCCTGCACAACTATCCCTGGAAATTGATGGAAAAACAAGGTGCTTCCAGGATAAAGAGGAACTAGGGGATTATGCAACCACCAATTCAACTCTACAGAGAGTATTGCAGGATATTCTAAAAAAGAAAAATATGAAAAATCCAGAAATAGTGGCAGAGAGGCCACAATGAATGGAGCAGAAAACAAAATGAAGACGACAAACTGACAACTAATGGCAGAAAAAGAGTTCAACAGAAATGAGGCAGAGAAGATTGGATGATAGGAACAGCTATTTTGGAGAAAATGACATCTTAATAGGTAATACTGATTTAGTATCCTCTTGTTTTGAAGTCTCATCAAGCTTTTGTTCTTCTGTCTCCATTGGTCTAAACAGGTTGTATCTTATTGGATTTTATTATGTATGATAGTATAAGCAAAAACTTTTATAGACAAGGAGATTATACAGAAACCATTGTTCGTTTTCTGTTGGTTGATTCTAAATACCCTGTAATGCTGTCATTCTCTTGAATGGTTTTACATTGTTTTGATATATTTGATGCTACAGTATACGAAGTTGTGCTCAAAATTTCAAGGAAAGAGACAATATGGTAACTACTTTTACATCAGGATTATTGTGGTGAAACACTATTCTGCTTAAATGGTTATGTTTTGATCTGTGCTGTTTTGCTGTTATGCCCTCTTTTATCTCAGTCTCCACTTCATTATTTACTTTATTTTTATCCTTTTAATTAAGGGAAAATCAAATAAAAAATAGCAGGATATATTATAGTAACCCACTTTGACTTTCCATTATCTTGATTTAAAGCCCTGTATTACTCTCACCATCTTGTTTTTGACTGATGTCCCCCTATTCTGTTTTGCTTGATAGTACCAGGTTCGAAAGTTTAA